GTGACTTCTAATTCATTATAAATGGATTATACAGCATCTCCCATGCTTTCTGTGGATCTGTTGTATTTAAATGTGTGATATAAATGAACTGACTTAACCTGACTATGTTTCCTGTAAATTCATGAATAGGTCCAAGCCTAAAACTGATTTAGAGATTAAAATGTTCCTCCATGACCTGAATGCCCTAATAGTTTTTTACACTTGCATTGCTTTTGTTTATAGTATTGAATTTGTTTGCTGCATGTTTAGGTCCTTGTTATTTTGGCTTTTCCCTGCCCGTTAGGTGTCCTAGACTCTTCTTGCCCTGAGTTATGGTTGTTTGTTTGTACCAATATGGCACCAGTGTCTTTCTGCATTGTTTGATGACAAATAATGACAAAGTGTTAGAGATGATAATATGTCAGATGTCGACACTTCGAGGTAGAATTTTAACCAATTTAATTACATGAAGTTGGTGTTTTCTGGTCTTGCTTCAGTGCCAGTTAGTAAATGAAAAGATTGCAGTGAAACCAGCTGGGAAGTAAAAAAAAAAAAAAGATTTTTGGCAGCACTTATGTGGTAACATGTCACAACAAAATTTACTTAATTTACCAAATAAATATGAATTCTTCTTATATTGGGGTCCTTTAATGAATGTAAATTAATCATTTTAAGTTGATATGTGTTTCAGCCTTGTATCACTAATATGGATAAAGGACTGGCTAGTTATGGTTTATTACTGTTTAATAACATACCTGTTACTAACCTAAAGTCCTGGATTCAAATATAACTTTCCCCTGAGTATTTTTTTAAATTATTTTTATTTTTTATATTTTTTGTTTTTGCTCCACTATACCATCATCGGTGTGTAGACCGTGAGTGCACACAGACATACAAATATACACAAAACCTCAAGTGTGTAGCTAAGGCAAGCAAAGCTAAACAAAGGAGGGCCTGTCTTGCAGAAACAGAGTGAGGGGGATTAACCTTTAACACAGTATGCTTTATATAGAGAGGCTATTTGTCTCCCAGCCAGAATATCTTAAGAGCTTTTATGCATAACACACACTCACAAAATATATGAATACATGGGATATAGAAGCTCTCTTATCACAAACCTTCCATTTGTAGGATTCCCTCTTTATTCTCATTTATGTAATATTCCCACTGACTGAGTCTAAGTGTCTTCTCTCTAAAAGTGTCTCTGTGTGTTTTTTTTAAACCAAACTCAGTTTATGTCCACAATTACACTTTTGCGTATGTTCTCAACCAAAATATAAATTCTAATTATCTAACTTCCACAACTGCAGAATAAAAGTATGTGGGCTTTCGTGTGGATAGATCGATGAAGTGGCACTTGTGAGTCATGAAATTCACAGACAATTGGAACAAGGAGGTTAATGTACCCTCTTTGTTCTACTTACAAATTTAAACTGGCACCGGTGTTTAATGGTGCATTTGTATTAGGATACAGTTGCTTCTCCTGCTTATAGTATGTTGACAAAATTATTCAAAACCTCCACTGTAATAGCTGTTAAACAATGTCTGATCATGCAGTTTCATGTTTTACATCAACGAATAGATTTTAAGTTTTCAAGTTAACGTGTTTCTTTAACAGCTTGTTCATAGTGATGCCGTTGAGGTGCAGTGCTTTCATCTCCTGCTGTCATGGACTGTTTCGCTCATTTCTATTCCCATGCCCTTTTAATAAGTAATTTGAATGCCAACGCAGTGCAGCAGGCATATCTCAGTACAGTACTTTAGTCCCTCAACATGTTCTACACGGACACACACACACACACACACACAAAATAATGTATGCATGAGAATAAACATTGAATAATAGACGTGAATAATAGACCTTCTTATGGTCAGAAAGAAGGAAGTTTTTCCATGAGAGAAGGCATCTGCAGTAATTCTTGCAGTACCCCCTCATATTTTTACTTAGCATTTTGTTATTGTTGTTATTGAAATATATTTAGTCCAAAATAATTTTTTTATGTCTTGATTTTCACAGTTTTAATCATACAGTATTTAATTTCCAGAGAATTCACTCGACGGGTAACCCCGCTCAAAACAGTCTTATGAAAAATAACTTTATGTGCCTGGTGAGAAATGTGGTTATATTATAATTTTACCATACCTATGAGCTTTAGCTTGGTGACATTAGTTACAGGCCAAAATATATTATTAGAAACCATTTCTTATTGTCTCAGTGAAAAGCACACAATGAAATACACTGCGAAAATTAAGGAAATGTTTAATCATCACTGCACAACCCCAAAACAGTTACATTTCAGAGACATCCCGCTGTCCAGTCAGGAAGCATAAACCAGTGTGAATCTATTTCACGCTTTCATTTAAATTAAACAAAGGCACTGGCCCTCATGCCAATCGTTGCCTTCATCTGAGAACCTCTGGAGTGTTGTGTATTGGTTCATTTCAGTCACAAAATAGTGCCAAGGAATGTCCAGGAGCTAATTCAGATCTGGATATAGGAGGAGATCCCCAGGACACCATCCACCATCTCAACAGGAACATGCCCAGGTATTATCGAGAGTGCATACAGGTAAATGGGGGCCATAGATTACTACTGAGCCACCTTCTGACCTACAGTGGGGCAAATAGTTATTATATCCCCTGCTGAATTTGTAAGTTTGTCTACTTACAAAGAAATGAACTGTGTATAATTTTAAAGGAGAGAAAGATAACAGCAAACTAACAAATTCTGCAGGGTTTCCTACTATTATTTCCCCCAACTGTAAGTTGAGATTAACTTTTGTTACTTTGACTGTTTGGTGTGATTTTGATCAAATCTATAACCCTGAATTTATTAATAATAAAAGACAAGCATGAGGGTGAGATTGATCACAGTTATATAATACAACAGAAGGAGGAATCTATAGAGTTCTTAATTTTTATAAAAAAAATAAATAGAAAGTATACATGTCAGTCTGTGGCATCATCTATACATACCAACTACATCAGTATAGATTTTCTTCATAGTCAGAGGCACATAACTGTACAGTATGATACTTTTTTTTCAGTCTAACCCTTCAACCAAAAGGTTTATTTTGTCACGTCCACCCCTGCAAAATAAAGCCCACCCTAATTTCTAAGCTTCAAAAGATTTACCTGAACAAAGGTTTTATTTTTAATTAATGTTGCCATGTGAATCGAATCATTTCAAATGATAATACTTGTAGTTTTACTGTTAACAAAATGAGTTTGTGCTTGAGTTCAGGAAAATTGTGGTTGTAGAAGGAAATGTGCACTTGTAAACTGGTTTTAACACTACTACTGTCTGCGTACATACAACAGTAAAATCGCTTCAAGACTTAAATGCACCAGTCATTCTTCCTGAAGTCTTGGCTCAGTCTTATCAGTTGGAGTTTATCCACAAAACATCAAACAGTTGGGACTTTAGAGAATGTCTTTGTTGGTCTCACAAAAGAAAAAAAAGAAAAAGAGGAAGAAAGAAATCAGAGCATGTTTCCTAAATCACAGAAGGAAAACATGCCCCAAATTCTTGGTCATGGTTTTAGCTCAGATTTATATTTAATTTCCTCCCGCATTCAATTTTTCATTCCCCTTCCTTATCTGGGACCAAAGACAATTTTATGCCACTATCTAAGGAAACCAAAGCTTTACTGAAAAGAGCGAAGAATATACAGATCTTGAATAAAATGTTACACTGTATTTGCCTACTCCAGTAAGATCCTTGGACTGTTTGATGTGTTTTACAGCAATTCTCAACTATTATTTGTTGTTTGGGATCATTCTGTGATTAAAAGTATTCAATAAATGCAATATTCACAACAATAGACCAATAAGGATTAGATGTGATTGTGTTTTATGTGTAGACTCTATAGTGACTGTCTCACATAGCAACAAAGCCACACGTTTGCCTCCTTGCACATTATATCCCCACAGATTTATGCAGAGCCTGTTATACGGAGAATAAATAGTCTTTTATTAACACAGAGAGCAAAACACTCACATTTAGGCAGAATGAAAGAGATAAAGACTGTAACTACCAGAGAATGGTGGCAACTGTTCCATGGGTGGGAGGTGGAGGTGGAAGTAAACATTTACAGCTTTCAGTCACTTTCAGTTCCTCAGCTCCTTCAGGAAAACTCATACTGGGATCCTAGCCTGAATCAACACTATATTCTTTGGTGATATGGTGGCAAATGAGGTTATGACATTTTCTGTTTGCGATTGAGCCTCTAGCAAGTGTCAGCAGTGTCAAGGATTCAAAAGTCACTTTGTTCTTCATCCTTAGAAACCACGTATGATTTCCAACAAGTGCAAACTCTTTAACAGCTTTCAAGTGATTGCTTGTTTTTTAAACTGGTGCAACTACGTGACCTGTTTTCAACAGTTAAATGAATATTAAGCGCATGTCACATCAGAGCACTTGGTTATATGATTTACTGTACAGGTCAACATGTGATATTTTACAGTACTCGAAAAAGAAAAGACACCAGTTCATCTTGTTTTTACTGGTCAACAACCATAAATACCAGTCAACACAGTGCTGTCAATACAATACACTGGATATTTCATAAACATTATTTTTCACTGTCCCAAACAGCTCTTATTATGTTACAGATTCTATAGTTCGAAATGAAGAGGCAAGACAAAGTGAGAAGTTCCTAAACTGATGAATAAAGAACAATAAAGCAATAAAGTTTTGTTCAGTGCTCTGTTGATCTACGCGGACAAGAAAACATTAAGATTCACAGTGAAACATCTCATTTCAGTAACTACACTAAACATTTTTACAAGGATTTACATTATCAGAAGTAATGTGTGACTTCCTTATTAGCTTAAAAGGTAAACAACGGGTGTATGAACTCAGACTGAGGTGGTGCAAGTGGACAGGAGAATAATATTTAACAAAGAGGACTGTGGTGGAGTTTGTATCATTGGAGAGGTGATTTTAATGGACAGAAATGATGTTTACACTAGTTTCAGGGTAAAGACAGTTGTCTTCCACTTACTTAATGTAAAAAAAAAACATATGCAATGCTGTCCTCTGCTTTCTCACTGCTTTTCTGTGTTCTGAGTTTTTTTGTTTGTTTATTTGGTTATATTTTTTTCCTTTTAAAGAAAATCTATCAATCTATTTCTTATATCAAGACAGAAAGAATAAAAAGAATTTTTCCTGACCTTTATGATGTAGCATGATGCAGGTGCTTTTGCATTTATTTGCACCACATTTTGAAGCTCGCCTCCTATTCAGTAGATTTGGTTGGTTTGGGACCACGTACATTTATGCCCTCTCCACTGTCCTCACTCTTACACTCTCTCTCTCCCTGTTACACCTTCTTCATTCCTTCTCTCCTGTTGTAACCAGTTATGTGAAGTCTTTAGAAACAGCCTCTATGAAGTTGGGTGCAGACAACAGGATTGTGAAGGTACAAATGATTGAGAAGAGAGAAAACGCCACTAGACACAGCCGGTCCACTACTGCGGCTGCAAACTTCCACTCACTGCAGATCGCCTCAGCCTCATCCTGGTCCCGGAACCTCTGAGCTATGTACGACACCTCCTCCAAAATACGCTGGATCTCTGGTGGGGGGAGGCCCACTCCCATCCCCAGGCCTACAACACCACTGCTGACATGTGGCTCTGCCTCATCACTGGGGGAGCTGTGGGCACGTCCCCCAAGCGTTACCCCAGAGTCACTAGAAGGTGGACAGTGTGGGCTTTCTATAGGATGGTAACTGCCAAAGTAGAGACTCATGGAACCATTGGAGGTGCCTGAGGGTGGGCAGGACGTCTGTGACATCGGCACAGTAAGGCTTGGTACTGTTCCCATCTCTATGGAGCTGGTGCTGGAGTGGTGGTGGGAGGTGTGACGATATTTGTAACCCGGCCGCTTGCGCTCATCGCCAGGTTGTTTCATACGGAGAAACCAGGCACACCAATTTAACAGAACCACACGGATCTGAAAGAAGAAAGGGGAAAATCAACACATAGGCACCGTTAACATATTCATTCAAACACAAACATGATGATTATCTTTTAATATAAACTTCAGTCACTCACCCACTTAGGCATCTTCCCGCCGTGAGGGTCATGGTGGTGAAATTGTAAGACTATAACTGTAACCACCACAGACATTCCCACAATCATCATGGTGCTGGCAAAGTACTGAGCTGTTTAGTACACACAAACACACACACACACAAAAGAAAATCAACAAGGCTTAATTGTTTTTTCCCCAGAGTTATGTATGAGATCAATCATTTTATTACTTGTGGCATGTTTTTTTCCCACTTACTCCTCATTTTATTATTAGATGCTCATAATTACTAGCATTTAGAAACAGACAAGACTGAATAAACTAGGCTGATTTCACACTCTATCATGAAAGGAAAGCAATTCTCCTCAATCTACAACACACTATTTTGCTAAAGGGAAGAGATGCACATTTGAACTGAAGCTGGGTGAATAAAAGCAGTGCAAAACAGTGCAACAAAACAGAGAACAAAGGTAAATAAACCCAAAAACAGAGGGGAGAGAGAGAGAGAGAGAGACTCTTATCAGGAAGCAGTAGAGGAGGGGGTAGGATAAGTGTGTAGGTGGAGTTTCATTATTATTTGTTAGGATTTTTTTTTTTTTAAGATAAAAGAGAAGAGGTTAGGGCCTTAAAGAAAAGAAAAGAAAAGAAAAGGACGGAAAAGAAGGTTATAGTAGAAGTGGAGCACGAAATTAGGCTGCTACTAGAAAGTGTATATCTATATGGAGGTATAATCAATAGAAAAACACAAGATGTACAGTAATTCCAGAAATACGGTAAGTGGACCCAAACCACATTGTTTTTTGAGACAGAACAAACTAAATTACGAATTAATCAAAACACAATTAAAATGAACTAAGCCAAACAAGAAATTAGCACACCTATGTTGTGATTAACGGCTGACGAGTAATAAAAGACTCATGCCCTGACAGCTACAGTAACTCAGACATATACATACATATGTATATACGTGTATATATATATGTATATATATATATATATATATATATATAT